TATACTCATTATTTGATGATTCACTATTTACAGCTTATGATCATCCTAGATCTCCAATTTCCCAATCATCATTTAACGTTCTATTATCTTTTGGATCAAATAATATGTTTCCACTATGGAAGTCTCGATGTATAAATTCAATTTATTATGAATAGTTTCAAGTCTAAAAATATAAAAAAATTAAATTTAAAGAAAATTAATAAATATATAAAAATATAAATACCCCATTGAAATTTGATGTAAAATACGTAATTTTTGTTTATTCCATGTAATACTTGCAAAATCCTTCTGCAAATGCTTTATGTAAATCCTCTCCTGATGCATATTTCATAACTGATATATAATCCTATCCATTATTTTGTTTTGCTTTTTTCTTTAAATATAGACTCTAATATATTATCTGGTACAAAATATTTATTAATGTTTTTTACAATATTTTCAAATTCAGCTAACTTCAAATTATAAAAATCATCGCATGTTATAAGATTATTATTAAAAAGAAAATCATCAAAATTACTATTTATGAGCGATATTCTTTTGCATTTTTTTACATTAAGATTGATCCGCAGGTCCAAAAAAAAATGTTTGTCATTAAACAATATCTACATCCAAAATAAAATATAAAACAATTTGCACAATACTTTTGACAGTCTGATGTAAATATTAATTTTGATCCACAAACATCACACCAAGGTCTATTATGCCACCATGGTAAGTAAAGAATTGGATGATTCTATCAATCCAGAAGAAATTAGATAACAATCTGAGCATAATTTAATTTGCGTTTTATCATACATTTTCTTGATATAATGACTTTCCACATAATTTACAATTTTTTCCACTTTCAATCACCTTATTGTATAAAGTGATGTTGTTTTATCAGTTCCATAATAACTAGTATTACTATATTCATTTATTTGTTTAAAACATAAAATTATTCTTGAATGCTTTGTGGTACTTTGTCCCACTTATTACATTAAAATCACCTGTAATAATTACAATAGATATTCTAATCCAAAAGGAAGAATTTGTTTTAAATTTTGTAGTACTCTTTAATTAAATAAATTAATCTCAGTTTCATAAATTAATTATTGATGAATATCAGCCAAAGATCAATTAACAATTGATCAAAAATTAATGGATCAGAAAACTTTTTTTTCATATGATCAAATATTCTTTATGTTGGTTAAATTTACTAGCCAAGATATTTAAAATGTTAATAAAAAATTTCATTACAATTAAATGGAATGCTCTGAAGTTTAACTTCATTGATGGAGAAATAAGTAATCTTTGAAAATTCTAAGAAAAATCTTGCCTTGAATTTCATTTATTCGTCAATATGGCATGATAGTTACTATATAATTTAATTATTCATTGTTCTATATTTCGCATGTTCTGAAACTATTTACTATATCGCAGATGCTAAAGAAAAAATTATTATGATTTGTATATTGATAGATTTAGCAACAATTAAAGTAGGATACTATGTATTAAGCAGATGAAAAAAAGCCGAATTCATACGGATTGTCAACATTTAAAATTGTCTATTTACATGTATGACTAAAATCAAAAAAATTAAGAACCAATCCTAAATCAATTTTCATCCTTACCTAAGCCAATGACCAACTCTAAGGTTTTATTAATTCTATTTTAAACTTCTTAAAGAAAAAGTAAACGTCCTGAAAATAATCAAATTATAAAAGTTTGGCGGAAAGAAGTAGTCTTTATGTAATTTCTTATTCATAATTAGTTGCTAAAATAATTTGGTTAATAAATTAACTATACATTTCATATTTGATAAAGCAAGTTATTATGTCTAGAATTTGATGAGGAGAATAACGAATGAGGTAGAAGAACAATACATATTACTAGGCAATATGATTAAAAAAAGGTTGCAACATTAAAAAATATACAATATTTAGCTCTTAGCAATGAATATGGTGAATTATATGAAAGTGTTGAGTTGTGTGAATGGAAACGCTACTCTTTTCCAGACCTTTAATATCTTGAAACAAAATGTTTACTAGTATTGCATGTTTAATAATTGAGAAATCCAGGAAGAACATTTTAGAAATTAATATACACTTTCCACTTGAATCTAAATATTATAAACCTGACAATAGAAAGTTAATTAAGGTGATATCAAGATATTGTCCAAAATTAATAAAGTTATCTATGATGTTGACCATAAAAACTTGGAAACCCTATAAAAAATTTTATCCGTTATTCTGTAAAAACTCCGTAAAAATAAGCCTTTCACGGATCCATTCACGGAAAATGTATATGATTCGATAATTTCCGTGATATAAGGTTTGTATTAATCCCGGAAATATGAGCCTTTTATGAAAAAAAGACGGAATATAAAAAATGGATCAACTTTTTTTACAGGGAAGAATGACCAATATTTTTTCAATTGGAGAAATTATTTCTTACAGCAAATGTTAATATATTACCCAATGGGGATGAATTATTAAAAGTAATAAGCAAAGTGTCCACAAGAATTTAAATTTGGAGACAAATGGAATTTCTCATTGAAAGGGTTGGAGTCATTTTTTGAAACTTGGAAATCTAAAAATACAGTAGACCACCAATTAAATTTATTCATGATTGGGATGAATTGATTTATTCGTGGACGTCGGATCATGATAAGATGGCGGAAAAGTATAAGAAAGTGTAATTAGGTAAAATCGAACATTAAGTTTTATTATATATCAAATTTTATGTTGATAATTGTATACTAAAAATGCTTCTGCAAGCAGAAGTATAAATACGTTAATAAAATTTCTTCTCACCCAAATTTCTCTTATTTATATATTGTTTTCTAAGTTACTTATCATTCATGTTGTAAAATTACTGTGAAAGTTTTAACACAGCGCTATACAATTTGTAAACTGGGTGAATTATCTTTTATTTGATTTTGTCAGATCATTACTTAGGTAAACTATTATGATATAAAGAGTAATAATGAGGCTCAATTAATTTTTTTTTTCGTTTTGGATCTTTTTTAAATCGGACAATAAAAATGTAATTTATGCAAAATCATACCAATCACATGTTCTTTTTTTTCCTTCAGTTCTCCTATTATAAAGCTTACGTATTCCATTTACGATTTAAAATCAAGACTTAATTTTATTTTTCTAACGTGACGCACTAGGACATTGATCACGCGACTGATATGATTTCTGATCATTTCACAGACATTTTGAATGCACGCCACTAAGATGAATCATATATAAGTACCGTTATGAGACTTTGTAAAAACAGTTAAGTTGAATTGATTTTTATTCAAATAAATAACGAAATCCTCATTCTCTTTTTTACATATTATAATAGTTGTGATTAAATTTAATAAAGCTTAAGTTCTATTTAATCCATATTAATTATAATAAAACCGGATTAAATTAATATAGTTGTCGGAACAACCGATTTTTAACACCAAAATATTGTAAATAGAGGAACATCAGATTAGAAATATGTGGAAGTTTTTTCATGTAAAAATTTGTTTATATATATGTTATGTGTCGGATGCCGATTTGCGTCTGACGACTCTGACGTGCGTCAGCAGCAGATGACGCCGGTCTACATTATCGGCCCGATATTGCCTGATATTATAATGCCTTAAGTGTGTTGGCCAGAATTACTAAGCCAGTCTTCATCTGATGCACGTCAGGACGTCAGGTCGTCAGGTGTCCACATCTGACGCACAACATTATATATTTAAACAAGCTTCAAATTACCTGAAAATGATAATGTTGAATAAAAAAAGCAAATATTTGATCTCTTAAAATAGTAAAATTTCTATTTTTCTTTATTCAATTTATTAAAATATGCAGTTTGAAAATATTCCATGGAAACATGAATTTCTTTAACATCCTGCATAAATAACAACTTGACATCACATTTATATATCAGCATTTATATATATCAGTAAGTTTTTCATAATCATATCAAAATTATAGATTCCATCTAATTCCATAATTTATTCGTCCATTTTTAATAGTTTGATGATTAAAACTTGGCCTTAATTCTTTGTTACAATATATCCTCATATTCTCTGAATTTTTCTGTAATATGAAATCTAAAAGGGTATTTAGTTTTTGTCATAAGCATGTTCATATTTTCAATACAGTACTATATAATACGACAGAACGTTGTCCTACAAAATTTATTTCATTATATATCATTAAGAAAGAAAGTAGGGCACAATTAGATGAATTACATAGATAATTTAGAACATATTAAAAGATAAAATTTTATCCCAAAGTTTGAAAGACAAAGTTTGTTGGTTTCAGTCAAAAAACCTTCGTGAAATATTATAATTGATTTATAAATTCGCAATTTAAATATTTGACTCGTACTATCAATAATCATAGGTACCATTGAAATAAACTGAAATTATTTGATCTCATACAACTTATAATATAGAGTGATAACATAAGTGATGTAATAGAAATTTGTTACTATTAAAATTCGTATGTATATTAGTACGTAATCAACAAAATGACGCATTCCCGAAGCTCCGCTTATTGTAACACAAAATAAAATTTGTGATCGATGCACAAAAAAATCATTGCCATTTTTGCATTAGATCAATTTCAAATGAATAAAAGGGGAACGTAATTCTTAACCATTTATTTATAAGAATTTTTTTTCCCCCTTTTTGAAAAATAAAATGGAAAAATTAAATATTGATTGCCTTATTCTTATTTTTAAAGAATTATGGACAGATAAAAAATCATTATATTCCTGCCTTTTGGTTAATAGAGAGTGGTGTCACTTAGTTGTCCCTATTTTATGGAGAAAATATCCATACTTTTTCAGTTGTAAAAAATCAAAAGAAAAATTTTATAATATAATACTTTCTTGTCTACCAACTTCTTCAAAACAACTTTTACTTGACAATGATATTAAGTTACCCTTAACGAATCTTCCAAAATCCCTAACATTTAATTATCTCAGCTTTTGTAAATATCTTAAAGTTGATATTGTAGATAATATTATAAATGTTGTATTTAAAAAAGAAATTTTTAATAAGGCAAAAAAAAGAAATCTTTTAGAAAAAGAAATTTACAAATTATTCATTAGTCAATGTAAAAATATTAAAGAATTAGAGTGGCAAACTTCTAAACCTCTACCATTATTTTCAGGAGCCCTAACATGTTTCCCTCAACTCTATAATCTAAGTATTGATTTATATTCAGTAAATTCCAACAATCTTCGTGAGATGGCAGAGATTTGCAAAGATTTAAACAAATTATGTGTTTACAATTATTCTCAAAGTGTTCCCGGGTTGATTTCTTTAATTGATGCACAAAGAAATTTAAAAAGTTTTTCATTTAGTTCTCATATTAAGAAAGGAATAACATGTGAAGAACTAAGTACAGCATTAACAAGAAAAGGTCGTACAATTAATAATCTTTTTTTACATGGTTCAATTGGGGTTATTTCACATTCATTTTTAACGTCACTTATCAATCTAAAAGATTTAACAATTTATCATGATTGTGAAAGTTATAAAGGAATTAAAGAATTCCAAAAATATTTAGCAAATTCAGAATTTCCAGATCTCAACTCACTTGGTATATATGATGATTTTTTATGTTTTAAGGAAATGGCAATGTTAATTGAAAAAACCAAAGGAAATATTTCATATTTCTCTGTTTATACATCTAATAAATCTGCTGAGGGTACAGGAATGTTAATTAATGCTATTTCTAATTTTTGTCCAAAGATAGAATACCTAACTACATATCTTGGTCCTAAAGATTTAATTTATGTAAAAGCATTATTAATGAATTGCAAAAATTTATTAAGTTTACATCTTAATAGTTTGAATGAGACTAGCGATATAGGAGATGAATTATTAGATAATTTAACAAAATTTTCTCCAAAATCTTTAACTTATGTAACAATTAGTGGGGATTGGAAGTATTCTATTGATGCTTTTAAAAAATTTTTTGAAAGTTATAGGGAACGAAAATTACTTTGTTTTAATATCGATAATTATATTGGAGAACATTTTACAACAGAACATACAGATGTTGTTAAAAAATACTTTAATGAAGAGATAATAGTAAATTCAAATCTTTTATTTTAATTATATATTCGTCCGGAAGTTATCTTATATGTAAGAGCTCGTGATCCTGTAAATTTACGTAGGTTTACAAAAAAATTTCCTGATGTTTATTAAGATAATTACATAATTACAAGTATTAGTTCAATGAAGCTTAAAAATCAAAATTAGCATAAGGTTTGCGACTTAATAAGGATTATTATAGAAATTACTTGTATATTTTTAAAAAAATAAAATAAGAATCCCTTTCGCTGACATATAAATGTTTATAAAGAAATTTGCTCGTCTTGTAACAAATGAAGTGAAGTTATCGTAAAAGATAACATTTACGTTACATAAGCGTAAAGTGTAAACTTTTTTTCAAATTTTATTGAAATTATTCCTTAATTCGGACATAATGGTGGATTCGACCTATGAAAATACGATGTAACGTCAATAGATAATACAAATTTTTTTTTTTTTTTTCTTCTGTAAAAAATTTACGTCGAATAATATTATTTTGATTATTATAAAAAAATTATCTGTAACTTAAACACATCCGGTACCCAATTAATTATATCAAAATATGCAAATTATTATAAATAAATTTAGAAATATTTAATTTCATTTCATATTTATTCTCATTATGAATGCATTGAAGCAAATATAATATTTGTTTCGCCATTGATATATATTGTATTCTCAAATGTTTTTTGCAATTATCAAAATATTTTCAAAAATTGGGAGAAAATATTATTTACTGTTGATTATGCTTTCTAAAAACACAGAATTCATTAAACCTTAACGGCTAATAACAATATTATTCTTATATCAAAGTTAGAAATTGACACAACAAATACTCCTTCATTAGATTTTAATTTAAAGATTCGTACTAGGAAATTTTTTTCATGGTCAACTGCAAAAATAATCGTAGTGTTTCAATCCGTTTATCCGCAATCCGTATCCGTGGACGAATATCCGCTATTTACGGTTATATCACTAACGGATCCTAGTGGATCGTAACGGATTTGTATCACTAACGGATTATATATTATAATGAAAAAAATTTTTTTTTATTATCAGCTTTCTAATTCGTTAGATCCTTTGGTTCTTCGACCACCTGGACTTTGGAGACAATAGTTAGGTTAACTTTTTTATTTCTTTTCTTCGTTACTTTTTTTTTGTTTCTTTTCACTAATTTCATTTTTCTTCTTTTAAGTCCTTCATTTTATTATAAAGAATGGTTATCTATGTCTAATACAATTATAGCTATTAAACAAAAGAAACTATCTGGTAAAAAGAACTAGAAACTCATCCCGACGCAGGACCTCACCCTTCGGGTAGCACCATTTTAACAGTAAATCTACCCTACTGAGAAAATTCGGCCCGCGTTTCCACAGTTACATGGGTAGCGTAAATAGGTGTTGCGTTCTAACCAACTGAACTAACCGGGCGATAACGGATTATCCGCGGATTGAAACACTAATAGCACAGCCTCACGAAAAATCACGTGACTAACTTTCTGGTCAACTCATTTTTACTATTGGGTTAACAAAATTTTATTTTTGATGTATTTTTTGTCACGTAATCAATTTCTTTTAAGCAATTTCGTGATATTATAAATTATATGCAAGTCAATCTCACATAGTATATCTGTTAAAAGTATAGTACTTATATGCCAAAATAACCTAATGTATTAAAAATGCTTCATATTTTAAGAAATGTCATTATTAACATCCTATAAAAAATTTTCTGGGAAAAATTCTGATAAATGATCATTTTTTTAGTTTTCATTACAAAAAACTCCGATAGTATGTGATCAATTTTCTAAAAAAATTTTATAGGGACAAGTTAGACACCATAACAGGGAGTTCCAAACAGTCCCATGAACGAAAAAGAAAAACGCTGTGCTAATCCTCAGATTATCCTATCGTTCAGCGGTGTAGAACTAGTGCCCGTCATAAAGACGTTTTGCCACCACTAGCTACAAAAATATATTTATTATTAAAATCGATAAAAATTATAAAATTAGTAAAATGATAAATTCAAAAAAGACGATATTTCTAATTAATAATATTAAAACCAATTAAAATAATAATTTCTAAAAGATGTCATATCTGCATTTCGTCACGATTATGTAGATCATTTCAAGGTACTAATCTCGTAATTAAATCAAATAACCCGATCCTCTAATCTTAACAAAAAAAATCTTAACGTCATTACGGACGCAGTACATTTCAACCACTATACACTTAAACTAAATATAATACTGCGCCCCAAAATTAATAATTTCACTAGATAATTTCGGCCCTTACAGCGGGAATCCCGTTTAAAAATTAATCCGGCGTATCGAGTTCTGACTTGTATTTCTTTAATTCTAATGCGAAATTTTTATTTTATTTTAATTTTTGTATTCATGACTTAAAATTTAATAAATCTTGAATGATTTATTTATTTATTTATTTATTTTTTAAAATAAAAAATTATAATTATCTAATTTCATCATATAATTGAAAAAATGATCATTTTCAGTTAAAAATTGAAGTTCTCTATATAATATGAACCAATCACTATTAATAATTTAATCTAAATGATAAATTTCAATTAATCATATAGGCGTTTTTTAACAAACAGATTGGATGAATAACTGAACAATCATCATAAATTCACTATTTGTAATTTGAAATAAATTCTTCGCCCAATTACGATAATTGCCATCTATATTTAAATATTCCATTTAACTAAGAAAACTATTCCAATTTACACGTAAATCATTTGTACTAAACACGGCGTTATATAATTCTTGCTTCATTGCCTCTATCTTAACTTGGTAATCCTCCGATTCATCTTTGGATTCAAATACGAAACTAACCTTAATATTCTTTTACAAAATTAATGTTTCAAACATTTAATAATGTTGACTTAACTTGTCAAAATAAATTTTTTGTAGACGTCGTGGGATAAATCGAGTTGGTAAAGTGTAAATAATGTGAATTACGTTTTGTGATTTGACATGACTGTTTTTTTGAACAGATGAACAGATGATCAAGATTGTAAATAATTCGTGTGGAATTTGCCCAACGTTCTGAGTTGCCACGAAAAATAATTAAAGTTAAATAATAAATTTTTGTCTTTTTATTTCACTTCACTCCCAAACCGCTAAAACCAGTCATCCATGTAATACCAAAACAGTAACCCTCGAAAGGAGATACGAGCCGAAGCCCATGTAAAGTTGAGGTATTAGCTTCTCAAATGTGGCCAGCAAATGAGCAGGACACGGGTGACATCGATCCTGGTAAAAGATCCACCATCTATTTAAAAGAAAACTAAAAATTATGGGATTGGAACAGGCTGGTAAATCATCGGAAAATTGCTGTAAGTCTTTTCTATAAATGTTGAATAATCTGATAACCTGATTAACTATTTAGAAATTACGGCACGAAAAATAATTACATATAAAAATCCACCCTTTTTATTCATTAGACTTTACATTATATATAAATTATAAAAATACAAATATACTCTATTTTAAAGGTGGAAAACAAAAGTGCGGAGAAACAACACATATAAATTCTAAAAATATGAATATACCTACTTTAAAGATGGAAAACAAAAAGGTGCGGAGAAAAAAACCCACAAGTTATCAGATTAAGAATACCTGGCACATGATGTTTTATGTGAATTGGTTTTACCTAGTTGTAACTTTTATGGTTAAAAAATGTACCGTAGCATGTTTCTTCATATTCGCCTGATGCACGTCTGAAATTGGCTCAGTTTACGTGGTCGTATTCTTTTTTTTTATTTTATTTTTTCGTTTTAGGAACATTGTTATTCTTTATTTTATTAGAAACAGCCTCTTGAACTTTAATGGGCGAAATAGAGGTATTTATTTTTATTTTTTACATTTTATTTTTGTTTTAGGAACGTTACTAACGTTACTAACTGAACGTTCCTTTTTCCTTATTTTTTTTTTAGGAACAGCCTCTTAAACTTTGAAATTGGGCGAAATGAAGGTATTTCTTTATTTTTTTACATTATATTTTTGTTTTAGAAACATTACTAATTATTTTTTCTCTAGATCGTAATTTGTTCTTTAGTTTAAAAATTTATATCAATTAGTAATAGATATATATTTCTCTTAAACTTGTGTGATTTGTTAGCAATCTCATTAATTTGAAAATAATTTGCAGTAATATATTTTAAATTACGACAAATAATTCTATTTAAAATATAAAGTATTATAAAACAATTTATTTCAATCTAAAATTTCTATTAAAATCCTCATTTTTTAAGCAAAATTTACAATATATCAATCAATTTTTATTAAAATTTCGTATAATTTCAAAGAGCAACTTTTACATATACCATAAAAGATGGGTTGATTAATAAAAAAAAAGGTTTATATAGAAGTACAATTGTTGTAGGTGATCGGACACTTTTTTCGGGTTACGGTACATTTCGCCGAAACCCATTTCGCCAAAGCCATTTCACCGAAGGGACGTTTCGCCAAAAGTGCATTTTATCGAATCCAAATGGACATTTCTCCGAAAATGGTAGCGATTAAAATTTTAATAAAAAATATTCGTCGCGCAATAAAAATAAAATAAAATTATTTTTAGATTTTTTTTTTTTCGGGATAATATCACTTTAGCATTCAAGTAACTGCTGATATTAATTGTTAAGAAATAAATACATTTATTCACGAAAAGTAAGTAAAAAAAGACTATAAATATATTATAAACAACGAGATAAATTTAATAAAAATCAGCTAATTCAAAATTTTTCTAGAAAACATTTCTTTATGTATTTAATATAAAAACAATAAACTAACCAAATGGAATAAATAATTTTTCGGCGAATGTTCATTCGATAAAATGGATTCGGCGAAATGGAATTCGATGAAATGGGGTTTCGGTAAAATGGTATTTCGGCGAACGTCCTTTCGGCGAAATATCCTTTCGGTGAAATATCCCTTTGGAGAAATGGCTTCGGCGAAATTGGTTTCGGTGAAATGGACTTCGGAGAAAAGTCCGGATACCCTTTTCCGAGCACTGTATATATAGTATTAACCTTACGAAAAGTAATATCTATAAGGGAGAGCCATTGCTGCCTCCCTCCGCTTATAGCGATAAAAAGAGAGTCTTCAGTAGTAAGGCTTAATATAGTCATAAAAAAATAAACGGTATTAACTGAATAAAAAAAATTGTAATATTTTATGATACATACTAATGAAAACTTAAATATATGAAAAAAATTTAATATTTATTCATTAATTAATTTGCCCATACATGTAATGTAATAGCTAAAATGAAATGAAGAAATAGAATCTATAATTTATAAAAAACTGTACTTTTTAAAATTTAAAAAAAAAAACTATCAAAATTTAAAAAAGATCTTATATAAAGTTCTAATTCTCAAAAATTCAGTATAAATTTCTAATAAAGTTATATTGAAATTTTCATAATCTTCTAAATTTGCCGAAATTTCTTTAAATTCTTGAGATCGATAAACCTCCTCAAAATTTATTGCCATAAAATTTAAAACTGGTTTTTTTAAGTCATTATAGTTTGGGACTAAATTAAACATAATTTTTGATACATTTGAGATTGTTAATTCGTCTAAAATCCTAGTTTTTGCTCGTTCTCGAAGATCTAATAAAACATATTGATCCGCTAAACGAAATAATTCTATAGCGATAGAATCATCATTATCTTCATTAGTCCATTGAATTTGATTTGTGTAAAAGTATTTGAGCATGGCAGAAATTGTAATTGGGCTATATGTTGAAATTTGAATCCGATGTTTTATTTGACATGTCGAATTATTAAGTGTTGATTCGAACCAATGACCTGATAACATTTTCTCAAAATATTCGGATCTTTTGGAAAGTATTGAACTACATGCATAGAATTTTTCACCTTGTACATCAAATTCTACGTCAGCCGATTGAAAATTAAATAAATGTTCTTTCCATGCGTCTATAAGATCCTTTGGAATAGGTTCAGGATAATATGTTTTGCTTTGATTATATTCAATGTTATCAAAATTAGCTCCAATTATCAATTCTCCATTTTCAAGTGAAGATTTTCTAATTGCATAACGATATCCAGGATCTATATTAAAAAAGACATAAATTTAACGATTAGAAAAAGAAAACTAAGTGTGAAAAGAAACACCAAATATTACCATTATCAATAGGGGTACCAGGAGGTATAGCAAAGCTTTTACTATAAAGTTCAATGATTTGATTATCATTTCTAATTTCTTTTGCGAATAAATTGAAAGTTAATTTTGAACGTTCTCCCCAAATAATTTCATCTTGATTTGCAACTGGCTGTAAATAAAGTCCATAATAGTCATCGTCTTCAAGAAGTATAAATATTCGCCAAAACATATTATTTGTACCAAAAATAGGACTATAATAATCTTCTTCTATTTCAAGCGATTTAGGTAAATTTACTTGATAAGTTAATTTTGGAGTTATTTGAGACATTTTTTTTTCTTTGGTATTTTTGGATTAATCCAAAAAGGCTCTTTATAACAAACATTTTGTGAAGGCTTGTCAATAGAAAAGCAATTTACTAATTTATTCCGTGTTTTATCGCTCCATGTTACTTCCGTAAATATCATATTCCCGGAATTTATAGCCTCAAAGCATGAAATTATCCAAGTTCAGTTGCTTGGTATTCACGGAGATTTTACGTGAATTACTGAATTACGGATAAAATTTGAACATTAGCCCTGTTCAAAAATCCAAGCTCATATTGCATATATATTCAATTTCGAAACATTCGGATCAATTTTTTTAATCAATTTGAACAGGATTATTGCTAAATATCAACCTGCTGGTGATTGTCATCTCACCAGAATTAGGATAGAATTTTGGGCAGAATTAAAAATGTCATGAAACTCCGCTCGCACTCGGTGATTGATCACCACACTGTGATTTTTGACATTTTCTACAGGATAAATTTATTAAATTGCTTTTATCTTTCGTAATTTTGATGCAAAGCATTTTAGCTTCGGATAAATTTTCCTCGTTCAATAAGTTATAGTAGTAATATTTTATAAACTTAATATAAGTTCTTCTATAAATTAATTCTAATTTCCTTGGCTTAGAGAAAGCAAAGATGGGCTTATTGGTGTAGGCTGTGTTTACCACAAAATTCAAAAAAAAAAAAATTTGGACAAATTCAATTTGAGATGATGAGAAGGAATGTGAGAAAGTTTTACCATCACTGATGCTGATGCTGATGTGGCTTTCAATGTGGCTGCACAGCCTTCTGCAACAAAGCATGATTTTACATATTATTTGACTTTGACTTTAATCATGCAACGATTGCAACATATGTACTAATCTAAGGTAAAGCCACATCATGTATCAAAAAAATGCCGATATAAATTATACGTTTAAACCTATAGTGAGAGATTTGAGAGTACTAAGCCTCAATGATGATGAAATGATACAAAAAAAAGTTAACGAAATCACAAATTTTTTTTTATTTGTAGTAGCTTCATTTGATTGGATATTCGTATCAATTTTTATGAGAAAAAAATAAACATTTCTCTTTTAAAATTACATCAATTACGACAATAACGGCAAAAATTCGTTTTATTTAATTTGGCAAAAAAATCGCTAAATATGGCAAAATATTACACACAGCACAATTAAAGAGAACAAGAATTTATATAAAAGAGAAAACGAGATATTATTTAGTCGTGGTAATTTTTCGATAAGTAAATACGAGTGGTAAAAAAGTACGATAACGTAACGTAAAAAAATAATAAACGAATTAATAACGAAAGGTTCTAAAATAGCGATTTTAAAAATTTACTCTTAGAAATTTTTTTTTTTCTCATATACAAATATAAAAAATGCTTTTTTTAAAAAAAAATTCTTATAATTAAAAAAAATAACTGCCAAGCAGCGTGTAAAAAATCTCGGTCACTGGAAGATAAGGAATGTTGCATATTCCTATCGTCATCCTTCTGAATTTGCCCCGTTAGAAGAGCCAGTCTTCCATGTTTATCATTCGTTAGGCGCGGTAAGAAAATAACACGAAAAAATCCGGTTCACTGAACATATTCCAGTAGATTTTATACGCTGCTGCCAAGCAATAAAATCTTATCTTATTTGGTGGTAAAGTTAATGATTTGATTTTCGGTGCAGGCGGCACGGGCGGTTTTGTAAATGCAAATGAAAAGAGAGTGTGTCATTAATTTTTTTTTTTTTTTTTTTTTTTTTTTTTTTAGAAAAATTAAAAAATTTTGAACACTTTTTATAACAATTCTTACAATTGCGTAATATATTACATCATACAAATTGTGTATACGCTTTTCCTAAAGATATTTAACAGCTTAATATCTGTGTCTCAAATTTTTGAATTATTAGACCAGTACTTTTGTGTTTATTTTATCATGCAATTGGTTCGAGGTTGTAGATTAGCGGAGTTTACTTTTTTTAAAAGGAGAGCGTGTTACCGTTATATAATTATTTTACAAACAAAAAGTAATATGATCATAACTTTTCGCAATTTTTATTTGATGTCGGAAAAACTCCAAATTACAAATTACACAAACAATGACAAACCAATAAACAATCTTTTTTTAGACCAAATCCAATTTAGCAATTAATTATAAAATATTTATGGATTTTAGGAAGTCACCCGAATAACACAAAAATAATATTATTTATACTGTATACACAGTGAAATTCGATATAATTAAACCATCCGTTCCATTAGTAAAATTTGTCAAAAATCCGTTATATCAAGAATTTCGTTATATCGAGGGTAAATTAATTATGTTATCCGTTCCAGACCCCAATTCCGATATTTACTTACGATCCGTTATGTCGAGGTTTCGGTATATAGAATTTCATTGTTTATTAAAATATTCCAGTTTAAATTAGGTGTGGGAAAATAATAAATTTAATTTAACCATATTTCTGAAACGATATGGACAAAGATTATGTTCAACATTTCTATAATTATCTATTGTAAAATTATCTTTGTTAAATGAAATATAAATTTTGTACTCCTCGGCCGTTATATCGTATTATGACGAAATTCTATATTTCGACCTATTATTATTACTTTATATTGTATTGTTTATATTTTTGATTTATAATCATTTTTTTTTGATTAATAATATCATAGAGATTAAAAAATTACGTATAATGTTTACGATTCGGATATTCGTTATCCGGTTATGGATGAATTTGGATGACAATAAATTCTATTGTCACTAAAAATAAATATATTTAATTTAATTTGAACATTTTTTTTTTGTGTACGTGTTTTATAAATTAAAAAAATCCAAAGTTCTGAAATGATACAAATGAAACAGAGATATCCGGTACAACGTTATGTTTACCTCCTTAAAATTTGTATTATTTGGAGATGAAGGAGGAAATTTAAATAATGAACTCGAACATATAACAAGTAATAAATTATGGCCAGGAAAATACTTTTTTAAGAGATAATGACTTTAATTTTGACAAAAGAAAAAATGATGGCGCTAAAAGTACAAGATAAAATATAAATTCAAGCCACAAGATAACATGGAATTAGTAATTTACCATTATAATGGTAAACGTCTAATCTTATGATATTGCGTCATTTACTACGATATTATTTTATTACGGGTAAAGATAACATGCGGGCCGATTCCTTTGTTATTTAAACATAATTATGGTTCGTTTTTTAATTCTAATTTTATTTTCATCCAGAAAAAAATATTTAACATAGACGGTTAAAAAATGTTTTGTAAGTTCAAGATTCTCTTGAAATTCCGGTAGATTTCTTAACAACGAATTTAGAAGCATTTAAAGTTGAACTTATATCAAAGTTATTACAAATAGTTTTCTTCCTAGTTCAATTATAAGCGTAATTAAAAATTTAAGCTTGTAGAACCACCATTATTAGGGTCGCGTTTAACTCTCCGACAATTACTTCACCGACATCATTTCACCGACAAACGTTTCACCTCACCGACATATATAAAAAATATTTTTACATATATCTTTATATGAAATGGGGATTTTTTTTGTTAGTAACACGTATTTCTTAGTTAGATTTAATAAAATACAAAAAAACTACTACTATAGAGAAATTGATTTAGCTTAATTATAAAAGTACTTTTCACAATATATTTTTTTGTCGTGATGACGCGAAATTTATATTAAATTACATATATAAAAAAAATAAAAAATACAATAGATATAACTATATGTTATTCTATCTATCTACTAACGGAAGTAAGTATCAATATTTACTTATTAGATCTAAACTAAATATCTAAATAAAAAGTTTTTATAATAAAATATCTCGCATTATTACGAGTAGTTCCTCTTTCAAGTTTATTATAAGCAAAATTTTGTTCCAATTGATGGTAATAGCAACTGAAAATTAAAAGAGATGAGAAGATTACGTTAAGCAGGAATGATAATATTTATAATAAATCAGCAAATTTGAAACGTTATTTAATTTCGTTGGAAAAAAGCAAGAAATTACTTATTTTTGCCATTTGTTTTGGTTTAATTTTTAATAAAAATTTTTTATTTACATTAATTGATTTATTCTATTATTTGGCAATTTATTTACTTATTACTAAAGTATTACATCTTCGTTATTATAAATCTAAAAAGTATTTGCTGTATAACTAGGATAAACGGAAACTCGTAATTATAAATCACGTGTTACAAGTAAATACAAAATATAAAAGGAAATAAGCAGGGTAGTTTGGTGGAAAATTACATGGGTTACAGTCGCTCAATAATGGTTAAAAAATTTCAATTTTCTAATGGATTTTGGAATTTAACACTGGATTAATTGTGAGAATATCGATACTGTTCTCAATTTTCTTGATTTGGATTTTGCAATTTCAGTTATTAATTAAACTCATAAATTAATTAACCAAATTTTTAATAATTTTAAATTTTTTAAAATAAGATGAATTTAAAATACTAATATTATTTTTTACATTAATATTTTGATATTTTTTTTTTTATTTTATAGATATTCATGTCTTAATTATTTTCGAAACCATACTTCTATATATTAGCATTTGCACGCACCGTGTAAGGAGACTAATTTAAATATTTTATTTTATGTAGGTTTGTGTTGCTCAGAAATTCTATGATATTGAGATTAAAGATTCTAGAGTTGCTAACAAATGTGACACTTAATATTGAATTTAAGTGCGATTTTGATCCCACTTCTAATGATAATCCATTTCTTCAGATAAGTTGTTATAATACGGATTGAAAATTATTAACAATGATCCATAAATTTAAAAAGAAAAAAACATAATTAATTCATATTAAATTGAATAATTTCATTTGAACCAGTTTTTATCCAACCGGTTTGCGTAAACCAATCCCATAATTTACTAGATTTATTGATATCTATTGGAAGATGTCTTTGTGCATCAGTCTTACGAAACGGGAGTGATTGTTGCAAAAAACTTCTTGCTGTTGAAATTAAAATGAATTTGGCTCTTAAATATTGAAGAGGTGTAAGACGTAAAGAGAGCTTTTTTCGAATATAATAGTTTGTAGTGAGATAACATTTCTATAGATAAAGGCTTTCTTTTTTTCCAAATGATGTTTGGTGTTATATGTTCAAGTATATCCGAATCAAGATTTAATTGTGCAATATTATTTATCAAATCAAAGAATTTCATAGAAGAGTGTTGGTATCAATGATTTCTCCTTTACAACCACAGGAATTATAACAAGAACTATCGTGGCTCTGTTTCTTTTACCTCTTTTTTATAAATGTTTTGTTTGATTTGTTTTTGTTTTAGCTTTCGATTTCTTTGCTTTTTTTAGATGTCATGTTTGTTTTAGTTTCATTGGCATGATTCTGTGGGAATGGATCTGTGCTGGACGAACCATCATTAAACGGTGATGATGTTGAGAATGATATTGATGAATCATTTCTTCGTAATAAATCTTTTGGATTCTTTTCAGGTGGTGTGTAGATCTCAGGAGATGATTTGGAAGAAACTTTCTCTTGATAAGAATTTTTACTATTATAGTAGATTTTTAGATGGTGACGTCATTATATATAGGGTATATCCGCCATAATCAGAAAAGTTTTATGAATAAAACTCAAATTATTTTCTATTGAAGATTCAGTGGAAGGAATTTTGACATATTCAAGTCCATTTTCGTTATTAGTCAATGACTGTGGTGAAGGAGATTGTGTAAAAGATTCGACGGCCTTAGGTAGCAATAGGAACTTGCATTAATAAATTTGAAGACATTCTTTCGAAAAAAAGAAAACCGAGAATAATTTATTTATTATTTAGGAATTATTTTTTCTTTAGAAGTTTACTATATTTTTTATAAAAAAATTTTTTTTTTTTTTTTGGGAAGTGGTTTTTTTTTCAAGAATGGGTACTTTTGCACATCGTTTATATATTTGAATTTTCGTAGTTAAGATATAATTGTATCCAATTGAGCTACAGTATTTTAATTTACATGTATAAAGTCACCTTAATTAATTTTTGTGAATATATAGAGGTTTTACTCTATGTAATCACGCTTCTATATAATCACCAATTTGGATGTGATTATATAGATAAATTTGTTACTGATATACCATATATACATACCTATATATATTGTAAAGTAAAATAAGTCCAAAGTTTTCTCTGTTTATTGATATTTTAGTGAAAGTATAAGATTGAGTATCGGTAATGTATTAATTCAATACTTCGAATTTTGTAATTATCCGGAGCGAAGCGAAGGACAATATGTCTACGCACTATAAAAAAAAAATCAATCACGTGAATTTCTCTGTCCGTCACGTGATCGTAACCCAATGAAATCGCAAAATTTAGTTTTTTCTACAACGGTTCCCGTTTCCTAGTATTAGCAGATATCAGATTAATCAGTTTGTATAAAAAAGGGAAGTGAAAAAAGAAGGAAGTTCCGATCCGAAATTGACAAATAGAGGCATTTGTAACATATATCCGTTTCAAACATTTCTACACTTCCTTATAGAAACGCTCTACACTGCGCAACATATGTAAAACAATATCCGTTATTTTCTCATGTAATTTGATTAGTGAAACAAGAAGATTTATTCCTTACGGAATTTGAAATTTTTTATTCTAAATATACAAGCGTAT